GAGAGAGAGAGAGAGAGAGAGAGAGAGAGAGAGAGAGAGAGTCTCATATAGCCAGCCTGGTCTTGAACTCCTGATCTTCTCACCTCAACTTTCTAAGTGCTGAGATTTCAGGAGTGTGCTACTGGGTCCAGCTTGGAATTTCCATTTTGCTGTTTGAATAATTATAGTAGTTCACTGGCACGAAGTAACTACACAGAAAATGATGAGTTTTTGAGTTAGCGCTGTATTTTTCCATGGCAGTTTTAGTGAATGGAAGTTTTTCAAATATTTCTCTGCAGATGATGATAGACACTGACAAAATAGCCTAATACACCTAATGAGGACCTACTGACATTATTAATGTTAATAAAACGTGAAATAAGAGCAATCGGTACCATAGTGCAGTATCAATAAGACAGGTGAAGTGGAAGATTTTGAAATTGCTTGAATAATGAACTTGTCTTTTCCCAACAAGAGGAAACTGTTGTAGAAGCACGTGACCACCTGCGGATAAATTTTGCTGATGGGATGGTCACATGCTGTCATGTTCAAGCTAACATCTCCTGAGCCCTAACTGCCCTTCATGATCTGCCCTTCCTGACCCTCCCTTCCTTTTCTTCTATGGCAGTATGTAGTAGTAGTAAAGTACTGAAGAAATCTGGGCATCTCCACGCTTTCCCGGCATCCTTTTGTCAATATCTGGGTTTCTTGGCATATGTTTTAAAGTTAAAACTGTCAGGATTTTTTTCCTTTCCTTACAGAAATTTATTGAAGAAAAAAAGTGCCTCGCTCAACTTGATACTTCTTTTAAAAAATGTGAAGAAATTTATAAGAATTTGGGTAAAGTATTCCAGTTACTTTTTAAAAAATATTTTATTTTGCATGTACATGAGTGCACCTGTGTTGTGCAATGCCTGGGGAGGTCAGAAGAGGGCACTGGATACCCTGGAGCTGGAGTTATGGATGGTTGTTAGCTGCCATGTGAGTTACTGGGAACCGAACCCAGGTCCTCTTGACCACTGAGCCATCCCTCCAGCCCCTCCAGTTACTTTTTTAATGAAATGACCATAAAACATGTCATTTTGCTTTCATTTTACTTTAATGGTTTGAAAAGTTACTTTTTCCATGTATGTTTTCCTTAGAAAATTCTTATTTTTGCCTTTTTTTTTGGTTTTTTTGAGGCATGTCCTGGAACTCACTATGTAGACCAGGCTGGCCTCGAACTCATGGAGATCCACCTGCCTCTGCCTCCCAAGTGCTGGGATTAAAGTTGTGTGCCACCACGCCCGGCTATTTTTGCTTTAATATTGTTAGAGAAACGTGTTTATTTTGCCACTATCAATTAATGCCAATAGTTTTCTTAATATTACTTATTAGCAAAAAATGTTTTCTAAGACTAATTTTTTTTTTTTTGCTAATATTATAGCTGGAGAATGCGAGGCAGTTAAGGAACAGCACATGATGATGGAACAGAATATTCATATGTACAGACAATATATACACAATGCAAAGTGCACTCTGCAAAGGGTGTTGGCGTGCTGGGGAACCTATGAGGAGCACCTTCGCCTACTAAAGACTTCTTTTGAGGAGACAAAGAAGGAAAAACTTAAAGAGGTATTTGCCGTCTAATGACTCTTCCCTTTTGTTTAGTCCCATTTTTACTCCTAAGGCGAGCGGCCACAGATACATAAACATGTCCCTTAGGAAATTCTTCAAGATCTTGGAAAGCATTTACTTTCTTCCTAATATAATTGCCAGAAGTGTCTTTTCTCCCCATTATGTGTACGCTCGCGTATGTGCGTGCCCACACATGTATGCACACACACATACACACGCACACACCAATCTGTATAAACAATATACCTTTTAGATGATGTGTTGCCCCCTCCCCCAGTTATTTTGAGACTGGGTCTTATGTATCTCAGACTGATCTTCTGATCTTCTTGCTTCTACCTTCTGCAGTTGGTGATTACAGGTGCAGTAACATACCTGATTTATGCAGTGCTGGGAATCGAACCCAGGGCTTTGTGCAGGCTAGGCAAGCACTCTCCCAACTGAATTACATCATCAGGCCCATATTACTAAGCTCTTTAGAGAGGAAATAAAAGACTTGAACTTCATAGCTTATAGATACATTTGAAATAAATTAGTGAGGACTTGGTCTATAATTCAGGGCAGAGCACTTGTCTGACATGTGGGACCCCCCCCCCCCATCTAACCCCTCATCCTCTTTTTTTAGATTCTCCTGCCTCCACAGAACTTCCCTAGTGGTAGGATTTTGGGCACGTTTTCCCATGCCTAGCTAAATTGCTGTTTTTTAAAGTTACATTTTTCCATTTACTCCTAAAGCCTTCCTGAATTTCTGCAGAAGTTCCCAAACTCGTTCAGTCAGTAGAGGCCATCACGCCCTGGTAATGGTTTCATTTAGTCTCTAGGACAAGAATTACTTAACGCTTCCCAATTTTAAGCCATCAAGCCCACAACTTAATAGTAGCCTGGTGTCTAAGGGACAGATGCTGCCAAGCCTCCGTCAGAATTCAAAGTACCTAGCAAGATCTCATTGGCAGCCCAGGACATCTCAGCAGAGGTTTGAAACTGCAAGTTCAAGATGACAGCTCTTCTCAGAGTTATGTATGTTTTAATGCCAGATGTGTAGAAGGGACATCAATGTAATTCATTGTTTTCATAGACTAATTGGAAAATAATCCCTTTTATGATGACTAGACATAGTATTTCTTTCTGTAATTTGTTTTTTTTTCTGTTGTAAGTAGATCTGGATAGCCTTTCAGTTTAAACATTTTCTAAGTGGAAACTAGAATTACTTAATGAATGATGGATTCCTGGCGTGAACGCAGAATTGTGATGAGTGTAGGAGTGCAAAGCAAAAGCATCTTAAAACTACTAAGCTGTCACTGTTCCTGTCCCCTGGGTTGATGCCAGCAGTGCGTATCTTGGGCTTTCAACAGTTCTTTTCAGGTCTGAAACTAAAATATACATAATTCTGAAAAGAGCTGTCATCTTGAACTTGCAGTTTCAAACCTCTGCTGAGATGTCCTGGGCTGCCAATGAGATCTTGCTAGGTACTTTGAATTCTGACGGAGGCTTGGCAGCATCTGTCCCTTAGACACCAGGCTACTATTAAGTTGTTCGGCTTGATGACTTAAAATTGAGAAGCGTTAAGTAATTTTTGGTCTAGAGACTAAATGAAACCATTATCAAGGTGTGATGGCCTCTATTGATTGAGTGAGTCTGGGAACCTCTGTGTAAGCCCATTAGGCACTTAGAAAGATAAAGCAGGTCTTTCAGAAGGGTCCAAGAATAGGGGCCTGGCACCTGTTAGGTAGCAAGCTAGCGAGTCTAAGGGGGGTCCACGTCTCTGAAAAGGCCTTCACATTCACTTTTGCTGAGAATTAGCCTTTGTAAAGATTTATTATGGATAATAGAAAGGCAAATACTATACCATTAAACATTCATGTTGCTTCTGTGTTTTGTAGGTTCCCTTTGAGACACTCTCCCAGTGGAATGTGAAATACAATTCTCTAAATGAGGTGGGAAACTTCTTAATTGAAGTCAGCAATGTTGAAATTGTATCATCTATTTCTAAAGAACTGAGAAGGCTGAATAAAAGATGGAGAAAGTTTAGCACAAAAACTCCACTTGTAAGTTCTTGCTTTTGGTGAGCACCTCTTTTGGGCTATGATTCATGGGCTTATAAGTAGCTCAGTGGTGTTTGACATATTCATTTGTCAGCTATCAGTGTAATCAGGTTTTGTTTTAGAGAGTAAGGTATGTATGTACATGTGTTCATGTAGGTGTGCATGTGTGTGTTTGTGTGTAGACCACAGGTGGCTGTCAGGTGTCTTCCTCAATTGCTCCCTACCTTGTTTTTTGAGACAGTTTCTCACTGAACCTGGAGCTCAGTTAGGCTTTAACCTGAGGGCTCCTCTGCTGTCTGCCTCCCCAGCACTGGGATCACAGATACACGCCACTATACCTGGCTTTTACATGGCTGCTGGGGATCCAAACGCAAATCCTCATGTTTACATGGCAAGCACTTTACCAACTGTCCCACCACCAGTTTTAGAACACTCTCATTTCACGAAGATGCTCTGTACACTAGTTTCTGTCTGCATTTCCTCTCCAACCTCCCAGCCGGAGACAGCTAACTACCCATCAGCTTTCTTTGTCTATAGATATGCATAGCGTGGTTCTTTCAAGTAAACAGAATCATATAATACACAGTTCCTCATGACTAACTATGCCCTTGGCATAAAAGTCCACCCAGATGTAACATAACTATTTGCATGCCATTCCTTTTCATTGGAGAATAATAGCCTCTTGCATGAATATGCTGAATTTTATTTTTTATCCATTGGGTGATGCACATTTTTGTCCTTTGCACTTCGTGGTCTATTATAGCCAGTATAGTTATGGACATATGCATAAAAAGTATTTGTAGGAATATCTATTTTAAAGATTTATTTATTTTTTAATTTTTAATTATGAACATGTGTGTGTATTTGTGTGGGGCATGTGCATGTGTGTGCAGATGCCCATGGAAGCCCTTGGAGTCCCTGGCACTGGGGTTATAGGGAGCGTGAGCCTCCTGATGTCGTGCTGGGAGCTGAACATACTGGGAACAGTATGAGCTCTTAAACACTGTACCATTTCTCTAGCCCGTGAACATATCTCTTAATTTTTCTTGAGTACATATATATCTAAGAGGACTTTCATTCTTTGAAACTTCTGATATATACGTTTATAGCTAAAACTCATTTACCAGAAACATAAGCATTGTTTTGTTGTCTAAACTCCCTAAAGTTTTAGATTAGATCTTCTTCATCTTTATATTTAATACTTATCATAAAAGCAGAATTATAATAAACAAGTTTTAATTTATTTTACTTATTCATAACAATTGGAGACTTACTTTTTTGTTTTGTTTTTTTTCTATTTTGGCTTTTTGAGACAGGGTCTCACTATATAGTCCCAGCTGGCCTGGAACTTGCTATGTAGACCAGACTGGCCTTGAATGCAGATCTGCCTGCCTCTGTCTCCCAAGTGGTGGGATTAAAGGCGTGCTCCACCATGCCCATCAAAACTTCTTTTAGTAGATAACTTTTTTGTGTGTATGTGACTTGAACTTTCTACATAACTGATCTTCCTACCTTTACCTCCCAAGTGCTGGGATTACAGGTGTGCATCATCACACTGGGCTACAAGTACATAATTCATAACACTGTTGATGATAGATAAATCCTAAAAGTATATTGATAAAATATTTTGTCCACTTATTTATTTTTAATATATTGTCAAAGAATTGGAAATATAAGCTTTACTTTCAGAATTGATTTTTTTTATAGGAACTGAAACTGCCATTTATGAAAATAGACGATCAGCCCATTCTTGACAGTTCTGGAGCTCTTCTAGCTCAGGAGCCGGATGTGCCAGTGGAGCTTGATGAAAGTCACAGTGACTTTACAAAGGTAAACTGTTACACTTTGTACATTGCATGACACATAGGAATAATTTAACGTCAATACTTTAAGAAAATACAGTTGAAACAGTAGAAAGTGTATGAATTACCTGATAACAGTCAAAACGCAAACATTAAACAAGGACATGCTTTAGGGCATCCCCTCATAAAGGAGCTGTGTGCCCCTTGTCCCACTACACAGTGCTGCATCAGCAGAAACAGGCAGGACTTTTGAGTGGTGCAAACCAAACTGATGATGCCTTTGGAAAATTTCTGTCTAGTGCTTAGAAATGGTCTATCAGGTACCTGTGTCCAACCTTCTGACATTGTGACAGATGTTGTCATCTACAAAGTTTATGCTTGAGACCTGGCAGTCGAGTCCTCACCCTCATTCCCCCATCCCTCCACTCCCACCCTCCCCCCCCCACCAAAAAAAAAAAAAAAGGGTGGGGAGGGGAAAGACAACCTCATAATTCAGTAAGTGTGGGATTTTGTGTTCAACCACATTCACAGCCATCCTCAGTCATAAGTGGCTCATGGGCCACAGCTGGACACACCCGACAACTTCCAAAGTTGTTGAAGACTTTACATTAGAAATAAGACTATGGAAGAGGAACAAAAAATTAATTAAAAATCATGCACATGTAAGATATAATACCATTGACTTTGGATATGTGCCTCCCCTTAGAAAAAGCTGTCACTTTTTTTTTTTTTTTTTTTTTTTTTTTTTTGGGTAATTTGACTCAGCATTAGCCCCTTGGTGTAAGGAGTGCTGGCAGTCCCAGTAACAGGATTGCCTAATTGGGCAGGTGGCACAGTGGTAGAGTACTTGCTTGGCAGAAGCCAAGCCCTGGGTTCTGTTCCTAGCACCAGAGGAAAAAAGAAAAGAAGACAAAAAGAATGTTTAATCAAAGAAAACCTGGAGAGATCTGAATCTATGCAATATACCTTAAAATACAAATCTTCTGACCATGTAAATTGTGGCTTGATTAAAATAAATGTTGAAATTCTATTTATTCTGCAAAGGTCTAGAGTATCTACCTATAAAAGATTGAGAGATTGTTAGTGAGAAAATATTTAATTAAAAAAATTTTGTCTGAGTTGCCCTTATTATTTTTAAAGTATGTATATATGTATGTGACAGGGTATTGTTAGGTACCCCAGGCTCCCAGGAGTCCTCCTGCCTTAACCTGTTGAGTGCTGGGAGTACAGACATGTACCACCACAGCCAGCTTATCCTTTTTACTTTTTTTTGAGACACGGTCTCACTACGTATCTAGGCTGTCCTGGAACTCAGAATCCTGCACGCCTCCCGAATGCTAGGATTATCAGTATCACTATTAATAGCTCCCCTAATTATGTATGAGTTTTAGATATGTTCATGAAGACTTAAACTTTAGTGTTACTCATAAAATGGAGATGTTATTATCTAGCTGATAGAAATGATATAATTAAAATAATATGCACAGTCCATCATTTCATTTATAAAGTGGTATCAGCTATCACTGTCAAAATTGGGTCTTGTGGGGCTAGAGAGATGGCTCAGCAGTTAAGAGCACTGTTTGCTTTTGCAGGGGACCCGGGTTCAGTTCCCAGCAGCTACATGGTGGCTAACAACTGTCTGTAACTCCATTCCAGGGGAGCTGACACTCTCTTCTGAACTCCACAGGCATTGCATAACACAGGTACACTTACATACATGCAGGCAACACACACACACACACACACACACACACACACACACACACACACACATACACAAAACCCAAACTAATTAGAAAACACAACAAACAACTGGGTCTTACATCATTCATGTACAGTCATGCACTGCGTAATGGTGTTTCACACAGAACAGACTCAGCATACCATGGTGGCCATACCACACAGCCTACCTGTGTAGTAACCCTTGCCATTTGTCATGTTCACACTGTGACAGAATCACCTAATGATGTGTCTCTGTGTCCCCTCATTACATGAGCCCCAGGTGACTGTATGTTGAATTCACACTCTTCAGGATGGTGATCTAATTTTAAAAACTTTTTCATACTGCGCTCACATTTTCTTAGTGATAATTTTGGATGTTGCAGGCTGTAGAAGAACAGGAAAAAGGTGAAGAATTCACTAGAAAATTGAAAGTGACTAAAGAGGTTGAAAAGCTCATTGAACAGATGGAAATCTGGCATTCAGAAACCAAATCCATCTTGAATCATCTGCGTTGTCAAGTTGATGTGGATAGCTCCATGGGGGACACTTTGAAGGTATGAGTGTAAACATGTTGTGTCTTAGGATAAAAAAAAAAATAGAGGCTGGAGTGATGACTAAGTGATTAAGAGCACTGGTTGCTTTTGTAGAAGACCTAGGTTCAGTTCCCAGCACCCGTATGGCAGCTAACAACAGTTACTCCAATTCCAGGGGATCTGGTTCCCTCTTCTAGCCCTCATGGGTATTACATGCTCATGGTACACATACATACATGTAGGCAAAACTCTCCTGCACATAAAATAAAAATAAATAAAATAATAAAGTTTAAGTAGATGATAATAAGCCCACAACCTACTTTTCCTTACTGGGAGTTTTAAAGAAATAGGATGAGTTCCAATTGCTGAATCCTCCTCAGTGAACTTGCTTGGAATGCTTTATGAGTGAGTGTGAGGTTTTGACTTATTTTTCTGTCTATAGAAGTGGGGATTAGACTGTTCCCTTGTCCGAGAGGACAGAGAGGAGATGAATGCGCTCAGTTGCTGATGGCTCAGTATCATGGCAGCATCTGAAGACTGTAGAATCCCTGCCTTGAAAGTTCTCGCCCTGGCACTGAACCAGCCAGGCCCCTCCTCACTTCAGCAGAGAAGGAAGGGAGACTGTGTGATAGGACTCTGCTCTGTCTTCAGCCTCAGGAAGTTGACTTGCAGAGAACAAAGGGGTGCAAGTGTGTTTCAATATTACTTAGGATAACTGAGGATTTTGCTGAGTTCCAGTGCAGCTGTAAAACCCATGGTTCATGGCGTAAGTTATGAGTAGGTGGGAACTTCCTGGAATAGACTCGTGTATTTTTCTAAATCTTCATTTCTGAAGAGGTCTATATTTCAGCATTTGATATTTTCATTGTTTATGCAAGTAGATAACTTATCATTTAAAAATTATTATAAAAATAACAAAAAGGATTTATCTGCTATTGTTTTCCTAATTTTACGTTTATTATTTAGAGTATCTGGAATTTGTTTTAGTGAAAGAAATGAAGTATAAGATACTCAGTATTTTCCAAATTCTTTTAAAAGTCTAATTAAAATTTTTTATTATTTACTTTGGGGGTGGGGGCGGGAATGCCCCACTGTGCATGTGAAGGTCAGAGGACCACCTGCAAGAACGGGTTCTTTTCTACCACAAGTCCTGGGAATTGAATTCAGATCATCAGCCATGGTGGCAAGCACCCCTACTTGTTGAGCCATCTTGCTGGCCCTAAAGTATGATTTTTTTTTCTTTTTCTTTTGGCTTTTTGAGACAGGGTCTCCCTGTAGCCCCAGCTGACCTGGAACTCACTATATAGACCAGGCTGGCCTTGAACTCACAGAGATCCACCAGCCTCTGCCTTCTGAGTGCTGAAATGAAAGTGCCACCACACCTGGTTTAAAAGTATCATTAAAAAAAATTATTTAAAAAATATGTAAAAAGCAATAGCAATGATCCCTCTTATCATGAGAAAATAATCTTAAACTGAAATATACTTCAGTTAATAAAGAATTAACTAGTCTTTATTGTATCAGATTACTAGACCATTGATTTTATTTTTATTCATTCATGTATGTGCGTACTTATTAGACAGGGTCTTATGAAGCTCAGGCTCACCTCAAATGCATGAACTCCCGAGTCTTCTGCCTCCACCTGTGGAGTGCCAGGATTTCAGAAGTGTATAACCATGTCCAGCCCAAAGAAATATTTTAAAGTAGAAAATAGAAGCTTCTGGACAGTATGGCTATTTCTGTTTTAAAAAGAGAGTTGTGCTTTCATACTTTTTGCTTTTATAGCCACAGGAAAATATCTGTAAGAATCATGGTGGCACATGTCTTTAGTTCCAGCACTCGGGAGGCAGAGGCAGGCGGATCTCTGTGAGTTCAAGACCAGCCTGGTCTACATAGTGAGTTCCAGGACAGCTGGGCCTACAGGGAGACACTGTCTCAAAAAGACCCCCCCCAAAAAAAACCCCACACACAAAAACAACAACAAAAACCAAAAAAGAATATCAAAAGAATTTGTTTTGGCCCTGCACTGTACCCAGTTTCTGGAGCACTATCTGGCATGAAGTGGATACAAGTATTTCAAAAACTCAGTGTGTGAATGCTTGCATAAACGACACATGAGCAGGTGGGTTGGAGAAAGGGACTTTTTCTTTACATTTACACCTTTTTAAAAAGTTTACATGAGCTGGGCATGGTGGCACACACCTTTAGTCCTAGCACTCGGGAGGCAGAGGCAGGCGAATCTCTGAGTTCAAGGCCAGCCTGGTCTACTTAGTGAATTCCAGGTCAGCTGGGGCTATAGGGAGACCCTGTTCCTCCCAACCCCCAAAAGAGTTTACATGAGCTCATTTGCTACTTTTTAAATTTAAGAGAGAAAAATATAACCTTTAAAAAAGACCTTCATTTCATTTTAGAATATATTATTCCTTGCAGAAAAACTCATTGTTTTTGCTACTAACGCTGAGATATTGGCACATGCATCTCTAATCTGTATGCATCTGATTATTACTAGTCATAATCGGTTGCACTTGGATCCTTGGCGCCTGTGTATGTCTATGAAGTCATCGGGTAGATTTCAGTGGTAATGTTTATCACCTCTACTAATTAGCACGACATAAATTTCCATGCTTCCTCCTCAAATATAATACATTAAAAAAAATTTTTTTTTCATGTGTGTGTATATCACAAAGAACATCCCAAACTATCTTATTCGACTATAGACCCACTTCCCAGATGGCACCCTCCCATAGCCTCCCTCCCCCAACTAGAGCCCTTATACTCTGATATCCCTGCTACTGTCTGCTGTGTTGTCGGCACCCCCAGCCATTCCCCACTACTTGCCCTTCTGGTGAATCTAGTCAGCCTATCTAGAGGTCTTTGTTTTAGGAGAGTCATCTGTTCCTCTTCTAGCAGCAATCAGTTGTCAATACTCCTTTAGATAAGAATAGGGTCTGCTGTTCATCTTCCCAGTTCTAAGGTTAAAAAACTCATTCGATTTTATGTCTTACAGGGCTTATACTGAGTTCAGTATTGTATAACTGTATTAACTCAACTGTGAACCTAGAAACATGTACCCACTAGTGAAAGAGATGTACTTTTGCTCTGGAGTGTGTTATTGAATATGTTAAATCTGTAGTGAAATAATAATTAGTAGATGTGAAAAACATTACCATTGAAATCTACCTGATGAGCTTATATCCATGTTCAGATGCCAAGGAGCTCAGAAAGTAACCAACTATCACTAGTAATAATCAGATATATAGAGATTAGAAACACATGTGCAAACGTCTTAATGTCAATTGCATTGAAAATGAATTTTTCTGTATGAAACTGTATTTTTAATAATGAAATGGAGATCTTTTTTAAAGGTTAAACCGTCATTTAACTTTATGTC